CCAATAATTGGTGAAGTCGATTCCGAAAGAAACAAATTGTTTTTGGCGTTGGATTGATTTCGCAAAAAAATCCGGGTTTTTCAAAATCATCTAAATGCCATTCTTAGCATCTGGAATCTATAAATTTGTCTTTATTGAGTTATCAGTCTCAATATAATTGACTATATCTTCTTCTTCAGATGAAGATTGAATCTGATTTTTTTGGATTTTTTTCCTAGTGTCCTTATTAAAGAGTTAAGTTATTTTTCGTTTGACCATTTCTCTTTTTGCTATTGAATACGCCGTTTTATTGGCAATTGCAGTCATTTCTGGAGTACTGTTTGCTATCATACGTTTTTCTCTTGCTCGACCGTCTCTCTTGTTTTTCCTACTCCCTACCTTGGGAAATCTTCTAAAATCTTCAGGTTCACACAAGGAAATTTTTACATTACTGATAGTAGTAGAAGAACTCTTGAGAGCTATTATTGAAACTTTAGGAGTTGGCATCTGCATCGATTTCCATTGTTGAGTTGTGGATTTTTTAAACAGGAGCATCACCTGACCGTGGATTCTCCTTTACCTGACAAGTAGCTGGCAAGTCCGCCATTGGTCGATCGGTAACGTAATTACATAAATAATCGGCATCAGTGAAAACTTATCTGTCTTATGGGTAAATCCCTGTTTTCTTAAAAGCGGCAGTAATGTTGGATGGAGTCATCCCTCTCTCGTGACCAATCTTTACAAAACCAGAAACATTGTAAATATTTGATGTTTATTTAGGATGCTGCATCATCCAATAATAACTTCAACAAAGAATACAGAAGTCATCCAGCCTGATGTATTTGCCAAACCAAGAGTACCAGTGAGAGCTTCCTGCACCATGTGAGGCTTAAAGTATACACGTGGGAATATCATGACGGGGACTACAGTTGCCGCTTGCTGAGATGAAACAATAGGTTGTTATATTAGTAACCTTCTTAGCACTAGTGTACTTGCTGACCTGCTTAACTCCTTTTTCGGCAATTATTTTTTGAGGCTTCTGAACTGTGCATGTGCCTGTTCCGTCCAGATTAAATACTCGTGTTCTATCTGCAAAGCAAGGATTTTTGTACACTGTTTGCAAATTGTCAAAAAACACTTCTACATTTGCCCTTGTGAAAGAAGAAGTTCGGGACAACTACATCCCTCAGGCGTTCTTTGGCTGAGCGATGGATTTCTTTTTAAAAACTCATAGAACCAATCTTGTCCTGCAGATTTGTTAGCGTTCCATGAAATTGGACATTTTATTTTATTTATTGCTGCAATGTTATAGACAACTTTCTTGCATTATGTCACTGAAAGACCATAAAACATTTTGGAACACATTAGCAAATACTCTCTCAGTTTATTTTCCTGTTCTATATTAAACACTTGTCGGACATTGTAGTGCGAAGCATACTTTAAATTTGTATCACAATCATTGTCTTTTTTCTTTTTCATAATATACCTAGATAATGTTACGTCAGAGAAAGTAAACGACTTACTTAGGGATACATCCTGTTATAATACAATTTCTCGAGACCCCACTCCTAGAGTCGAACGCGAAATTTCCCATGCCATCAAACAATCCGATCTTTCCGATGATGTTAAGAAGTCCATAGTTCCGAAAAACTCCATCTGCCCCAGAATTTACGGTCTTCCCAAAATCCATAAAGACAACGTACCTCTTCGTCCCATTGTGACCACGATTAACTCTCCTACCTACAAACTCGCAAAGTACTTGTCGAATCAGTTTAAGACCTATACTGGTCGTACCTCTTCTTATGTCCGAAATTCCACACATTTCATCACCTTAATCTCCTCCCTCACGGTCGATCCCCAAGACATTCTCGTCAGTTTCGATGTATCATCCCTATTTACCAATATCCCCATACATGACTCTCTAGTTGTTCTGCGAGATCACTTGACCAATGATAACAAGTCTTTGGTTTTGGCAGATCTTGCGGAAAAATGCCTCCTTTCAACATATTTTTCTTTTAGAGGCAATTTCTACAAACAAATATCTGGAACACCAATGGGTTCTCCCCTTTCCCCTGTCATTGTTGACATTTTCATGGAAGCCTTTGAGTCTTTAGCCCTAGATTCTTACTCCTTAAAACCGAAAGTCTGGTTCCGCTACGTTGATGATACATTTATCATCTAACCCCATGGTCAACATACCCTTTCTCCCTTCCTAGATCATCTTAACTCACAACATCCGAGTATAAAATTCACAATGAAAGTAGAAAATAATCGGTCCCTTCCCTTTCTCGATGTGTTAGTCACCTCCAAGCCCAATGGCCGTTTGGGTCACTCTGTTTATAGAAAAAAGACTCACACGAATCGTTACCTACATGCTTCATCACACCACCATCCTGCCCAAAAGAATTCTGTGATCAACTCTCTCATCCATCGGGCCCTTTCGATTTCTGAACCTGACAACCTTAGAGAAGAACTTGACCATCTGCAAAAAACCCTTGTCGCCAACGGTTACTCCAAGTCCGCAATTCAAAATATTACACATCGACATCTACATCCCCCTTTACACCCTAGGACGACAAATTCAGAATCTTCGGGTAATACTCCTGTGGCTTTTCTTCCGTATATTCGAAGTGTCACTTATAGGATTGGCAAAATTCTTCGCAAAGAAGGTATCAGGACTACTTTTCGACCACCCAAAAAAATCTTACAATATCTACCCTCTCCTAAGGACCCATTACCGCCCCTATCTTCCTGTGGTGTCTATTCTATTCCTTGTTCATGTGGACATGTGTATATTGGCGAAACTGGTCGTTCCGTCAAAACTCGGATTCAAGAGCATCAAAGATGCATTCGCTCAGGTCTTTTCTCCCATTCTGCAGTTGCAGAACACTGCCAAGAAACCGGTCATTCCATATTGTTCAAAAAAACCCATATTATTTCTAAGAGCCCCTTCTTTTATTCCAGGAAAATCCGCGAATCTCTAGAGATCCGAAAAAATCCACATAATATCAATCGAGAGGAAGGATACTGCTTGTCTCCCATCTGGAATCTCAGTCTAGAGCCGCCGTCCGGTCCCGCTACCACGATGCAGCCACATGATTGGCCAGCGCGCGCTTCTTGACGTTCGCGCCACGGAGTGTGCCGATACGTCCCGACACGACAGGTCACCGCGACTATAAATAGAGCGGTAGCGGAGTAATCGTCGGATTCGCTCCCCGCCTCTCGACGCGTTAGTGTTCTGAGCTGTTGGACGTGAATCCCTGTCCTGGCATTTGGTTTTCACCTCTGGCTGCGTTGAGTAGTTGAGTTGCTGTGACCAAATACCCATCTTGGTAGTTAGTATTTGCCTCTGGTTGCGTTGAGTAACTGAGTTACCGTTGCTAACTACCCATCTTCCTGTCTTCTTTTTCTTTCTCTTTTTCTTTGTTCTCCTGAAGAAGCTACATACAATTGTAGCGAAACGTCGAGATGAACCCACTTTTGGGTCACTCACAAATGACACGGTCTAAACCCGGAAGACGAATAAACTATAATGTTACGTAGTTTACATTTTTTAATTCTGCTGCCAGCCTGATGGAGTGACCTTGACAAACGAGCTCTACTGTAACTTTCATGTTAGTCTTGAGAAACAAACCTTTATTGGTTTTTCTCTGACGATTTCAAATCATACTGGAACAAAAATAAAAATATTATTTTGAGTAAATATTAATGGGGCACCCTCAAACGTTTCAAAGTGGTCCGTCGAGTTATGTTTCAGTGTACCCCAAACGTCCATATTTTCTATTTTATGTCAAATTCACAAAAAACAGAATAATTATAGAAAAGAAAATGCATAAAAGTAATTCAGTAGATATAAACGTTTCGAATAATGCTACTCAACTAGATAAAATATTGCAGTTTTTACCTTAAAATCAAACGATATCCGCACGTAACAATTTAGTTTTGTCACACAGAAACACTTTCCTCAGCCGCTTCCAAACTATAACAAAGATTATAATGAAAAAAAGATGACTATGTCTGGTATCGAACGAAGGGCTACTGACAGTAACAGGTTGTCATATACATGTTAGAATTTGAAATACGAACAATGTTTCAAGGTGTTTCAACGTGCCCCGTGCACCCCTACTTCAAACATAAACATACTAGTAAATAGCAAACTAATTGAAGTAGTTAAAAGTCCTACAATAATGTACATATAGAGATGGCACCTAAAGAAGACGAAGAGAGAAAAAGCAAAATACGTATCAATTATGTGCAGTTACAGATATTCAGTGTATCAGTGTTGTTGATTATAATGTATATTGAAGATTGAAAACAACTAAGGTCTATAGAGAGGAAAGAATTCATCTGGAATGTCCTTACATCACATTTAGCTTAAGGTTGGAAACAAACTTAACAAGAACAGTACTAAGTGACAGGATTCAATATGACATTAGAAACTCATACGATTTAAGCCATAGTTTTATATGGGAAAGCTATTTCTATTTGGGAAGCTATCTTTATCCCTAGAATATATTTTTCCACGAGAAACACAGCTCCCATTTAAGCTTAAGCATTGTCGCGTTGGAATGTATTTGTCACACTCAGTTTTGGATATGGACAACTACATGTCGCCTTACCGCAATTAGGTCGCAGTAGAGCAGACTAGACGTTCGCGTAAGTAGTTATGGATTGAATCGACCAAATTTGATTGAAGGAATCACGTAAGTTCTCGCTAGTAATGTTCTGTGAGCAATAAAACTTAAAATCTCTTATGTTTAAGTAAATGCTTATTTAAAGTTCGTGTTTAATTTCATCTACGTATTTATATTATCGTGGGAGAAACTTTAGTGCCAGTTAATGTATAGTAATTACGTTTTTTTCCGGAAAATCAACGATTAGACAAAATAATAATATATATTCTAGTAGTTCTCCGAACCCGCTTTGCATTTGAATGTATTGGATGTGTATGTTACAATGTTTCAAGACTGGACTATTTTAATATTAATGCTAAAAAAACAAAATTATTGCACATTCAGATTAGCCTTTCCCTCGTCTGAAACAGAAACTGTTCTATCTATCCAGTTAAATCTCTTTCAATTACCGAGAATTGGAAATGAAAGTATTATAAAACGTGCTAATTTTTTGTAATCGCTTTTACTTAAATTAGTTTTTCTTTATTAAACAAATAGTATCGTACAGTAGATTACTGTTTTAGTTTTATTCGGAAAGTGTGACCGAATTGTTTGAGTTATGAAACAGGAAAGTTCGTTATGTAGTCGGGCGATGGTAAAGTGTTAATAATTTGGAATATTGATGTGAAATGAATGTGAAAACTGTAAGTAGATTTATAGATAGTTGTGTTACGAACCTTCGATTTTATATTTTTTTAATAATACAGGAATATTAACATTTTTGGATTAAAAAAAAACTAGAAATTATGTAGAATTCTTGTGAGCCTTGTGAGAATGTTTACTGGATGTTGATTGTTCTTTTTTGCGTTTCAGTTTTATAATTTCTTTTTCATCGCTGTCTCTCATTTTCAAGATTTTATTTTGATCGATTATTTGCTATATGTACAATATTCTCTAATGTCATGTCTTTCCGTTCATGCCTTTCTGTTTTGTAGATTTATTTGTATATTATTTCTTGAATTACTTTCTTCGCATGAATCTACATAACAACGTCGTATTTTTTATTTAAATATTTTTTGGTTATCTACTTCTTTCAGTTTGTCGGGTTTGCATTCATTATTGTCACGTCTTCTATCGTCTTCCCTCTTTGTTGTCCTCTTTTTTATTTCATTTCCCGTATTTATATTGGTCTGGATTTTTCCTTTTGTTTGTACTATTTACTTCTATTATCCTCTTCGTTAAATTATTTTTGTTTCTCCTCATTACATAACCCATCTTTTCCAGCTATTACACCAGCAATTTAATTACCTTTTTTTAATTTCGTGGGAGAATTTTGACATCATTACATACTGCATTGCAAAGGAAGCTTCAGCTTCAAAGCTGATTGAAGAAAGCTCAGAATCATTACTCTGAATTATGGTCCCTATTTATATTATTTTTTTATCTCTTATTATTTTTCTTAATTTTTGATTGTTTTATTTTGTCTTTTAGTTTTTGTTATTTATTGCCATTAGCTTTTTCTTAAATGCTAGGTCCGCATTTCAACGAATGAAAAATTTCCTAATAAACTCTACGTTATTGTTGGATATCCGATACCAATTTGTAAAAACGTTTATTTATTCCATATTACTATACGGAGTGGAAACATGGACTTTCGGAATTATAAGTATGAGGCGTATAGAAGCCTTTGAGATGTGGGTTTGTCGAAGGATGCTGAAGATCTCTTGGACAGAGCACGTGAACAACAACGTCGTGCTTAGAAGAATGGGTACTGAGAGAGAACTACTAAATATTGTAAAAAACAGGAAAACGAGTTATCTAGGACATATTTACAAAAGAGAAAAATACAACTTCCTACGACTTATAATGGAAGGGAAAGTGGAAGGAAGGTTGAAGAATGTAAGAGACTGGACAGGTATAGACACACATTTGATACTAATAACAGCTCAAGATAGAGAGCAATTTGCTCTAGTTATAGCCAACCTTCAGTAATGCAGAAGGCATCTTAAGAAGAAGCTTTTTTTTAGCTCTTTTTCCTATTCACTAGGTTTCTATTTATTTTAGTATTCATATTTTAAATCACTTCCGTCCAAAATATTAGTCTCTTCAGTTTCTCGTAGCTGTGTCCTAAAATAGCTAGGTCGTCGTTTATTAGTTTCATTATATTATACCTTATGGGTTTTTGTAGGTTTTTTGTTCATTTTGTTCACCTTCTTGTATGATACAATATTTTGTCCATTAATATTTGTATACATATTAGTATATTTAAGTTACCTTTTAGAAGTTTAAAACGTTTAGATATTATTCCGTTTAGTTTAACTTATCTAATTACCCTATTGTGTAATTTCTAGTGCTAGGAGTGCTAGGAGACAGATAAAAAAAGATGTGATGAGATGATTTAGGGCTGAAACTAATTGAATGTTTATGGATCCTATTTTAGATTTTTCGATTGGTTTGGCCTATGTAACATTGTGGGCAGTTGGCATAATAAATTTCATAAACTTCATGTTAATTTGGAACGTTGTATTTGTTAAATAGGACAAGAAAGAAAAGTTTTTATTGAGGGATAAATATTGTATTTATTTGCTTTGATCTGAGAATTTTGTCGACAAAATTCTTAAATCACAAGCACCGAGTAAGCTGTTCTAGAGTCTACTTTGGAACAAAAACATCAATAATGTCAAATGTGATTTTAAAAAAACATCTGCAACAATAGTCTTATCTCAAATTCCACAGGAAATAAGCAACCAACAGAAGTACCTGGAATAACCGGAAAATCAACAATACAACGTGAATGGTGTACAACGATGAATCAACTATATTTAACATATATACAGGGTTGTGATAAAGTATCGAACCAACTAAATATTTTTGAAATGAAAAGGATGCTGTTTATGAAGCTTTGCGTACAAGTACAATGATACATAATGCTTCTGAAGCCATTTTATTTTTTACTTTCCGGTTTCACCAGAAATAACCTCAACTTATTTAATTTAAATGTGATACCCAGTATATTTTTGTAGATTTCAAAATGATTTGTTATATCTTATTCACACATACCAAGTATGGTAGAACAAATGTCTTAAAAGAAGAAGTAAAACACTTGACAGTTAAAGAATAGGTAAACTTATTTACTAAGACCAATGAGAGTAATATTTATAAAAGATCACTTCAAATGTTTAAAAAGATGCTTGCTGTTCACTTTATGGCAATGTGAAAGCCTATAATTAAATTCGTGATTCACTCTTTCCAGGACTTCTCCACGTATCCGCGCATAAGTTCACATTCATCAATAATTATTTGTTTAAAATTCCTGCAAACGTGTTGATCGCTTAATGTAAACACGTAATTTTAGATAACCCCAAAGAAGAAAATCTAATGAATTAAGGTCGGAGAACGAGCAGGTTACTCTATGAATCCTCTATGTCCAATCCATTGATTCGGAAAATTCGCATTAAAAAAATTTTTAACTCATCGGTAAGATAATAGTGGGCAAACACTCCATATGGTGGAAATCAAAAATCAAAAATCAAAAAACTGGTCATTTCGTGGAAAATAATTTGGTTATTTAATAAATCTAAATGCTTGTTACCAGTCAAGTCTTTGTCAATCAAAAATTGGTCTTTAAGCCTATTTTGCACAATTTCTATCCACATATCAATAAACAATTTTTATTCTACAACTTATACACACACACACACACACAATCATGCACACACACAGACACACACAATAGTAATCCCCGACCAGAATGATATTTGCCTATTTGGGGGCATACATTTAATCATACAAGTCATTGGATTGAGGAGGATTAGTCCAAACTACTTTTATGAAAATAAAAGTCATTTCTTTGCAATAACCATCTCAGTTTAGAACTAAGGCAAAGAATGGTTAAGTGTTATGTTTGGTCTATACTTTTGTATAGTGCAGAAGTGTGGATGCTAAAAGTATCGATCATGAACAAAATTTAAGTTCATAGACGAATGCTGAAGATACCTTGGACAGCAATAAAAACTAACGAAGAAGTACTATGGAGCGTCATCAAAGACAGAGAACTGATAAAGACTGTTAAACATCGAAAAATGTCTTATCTGGGACATAAAGTATGGGGAAGTCGATATAAAATTTTACAACTGACCCTTAAAGGCAAAATAGAGGCCCGTATATGCGTAGGAAGAAAACAAGTTTCTTGGTTAAAAAACATTTGTGAATGGACTCAGATACCAAATGCAGGATAATTATTCCATATTGCAGAAGATCGAGAAGCCTTCGCAATGGTGAACGCCAACGTCGGATAGTTCTGATATGGCACGCGAAGAAGAAAGTCCAGGTCAAGGACGAATACTGTCATAATATTGTTTGTCGCGTAAGAGTCTTGGAAAACGAGATTTTCACTTAGGATAGCGTGAGGCGCTCTTCTACAGTAGTCTTTCTTTTCTTGTCGTTTTTATGTGTTTTATGTGTCCGACCATCGAACTTTCATAAGTCTACCAGAGCCTTTCAGTTAACTGGACTCCAGAGTCTCAACACTTGGATAAGGAAATGGGCCCTTCTGAAGTTAGTTGTGTCAGTTTTTTTTATATATTTTTTTGTATTTTTTATAATTTTTTTTAGAGAGTTTGTGATGAGGATCTGCTGATGATGAAAGTTAGTGCACTGCAGACCTATTTACATACTATTTCTTTTTAGTCATTATCAAGCAGTTGCTGTTTGGGTCTTATGTGTTTTTATTGGTGAAAGACATACCTTATGATCTCTCGCAGGATGTGGTTGGGATGGTCCACTAGTTCGGCGAATTTTGTTCTTGCTTTGTCGTCCATATGGTCTAATACTTTGATCTGTTGGATGTCTCTGAAAAGGAATCTTTTCGCTAAGTATTGAGAGACGTTTACTACTTGTCGTAGTGCTCCGTTATGAACAGCTTGGATCTTTTTCTGTTACTAGGATGCTGGGGGCATCAGTTATGTATATGTTATACAGTAGCGGAGACAGATCAGCTCCCTGTAGTACTTCTGCCTCCGAAATTCAGTCTTTGGACAGGACTCGGCATTGTTGTATTCATGGTTCTTTATTTTGTAGATCAATCCTTTGGGCCAACGTCTGTCGAATGCTTGTTTTACGTCTAGAAAGACTACTCTAGTATGCTGACTATCATTGAAGTCTGCTGCGATGCATTTTGTGAGCCTAAATACCTGGTGTTCACTTAAGTGCTTAACTCTAAATCCAAACTGGACTTTCAGTATGACCTTAGTTCATAGCTGAGAATATTAATCTTTCAGAAATTCTGCTGACTACTGTCAGTATAATCTTCTGAAAGTCATCAGTGCATTTATTATCTTGGTCAGATAAACGACTGCTTTTGCTGAAAGGTGTTTTAGAGCGATGTGTTTAAGTGATGGACTGCTTTTGCCGGTCTTCTGTAGTCGTCTTCTTCGACTCTGACTGACTGTCTGACTGACCGACTCTGACTGTCTGACTTTGAAGACAGAAACTTCTTCTTGATGGTAGTTTATGGAACATTGTCTTTCTGTGGCAATGACTTTTGCCTTGTCTTCAGTAGTGTACACTATGACGTTTTCTTTATGTACAGGTGAAATTGATTTCTTATCGTTTCTCACGATTTTCTGTAGTTTCCACATATCGTCCACGTGTTTGTTTTTTTTTCTTGTTCCTTCACATGGTTGTCCCATTTCTCGTTTGCGTG